CGCGCGCGGGGCTGCGGCCGGCAGGGGGCGGGGGCGCGCGCGGCGGGGCGGGCGGGGCGCCTGGTGCAGGAGGGCGGCGGAGGCGCGCGCGGGGGGCGGCGGTGCCCCCCCCCCCCCCCAAACCCCCCCCCCCGGGGACACCCCCCCCCCCCCCCCGAGATGCCGTCGGGGGGAGAGGTACGCTGCCCCGGTAGAGGCCTCGGAACGGGCCGCGGGGTGCCCTTCCTAGGGGAGGAGGTACAAAGGCGGCGCGGGGCCGCGGTGACGGGGCGCGCTGGGCGAACGTTTCGCTTTTTCGGCCTTTCAGGAGTCTCCGAAGTCGGCCAAAAGCACCACAAAGCCCGGCGGCGGCAGCGGGAAGGATGGCGGGGCTGAGAATTCGGAAGAGGTAAGGCTTCCGCCTCGCACGGCGCTGTCCCCGCGTTCCTGCAAGGGAGGATCCCTCCCGGATCCGTGGGGTCTGAGCAGAGAGCGGCAAAGGCGAAAGTTCGCACCAAGTTAGTGCCCCTCGAGCTGCGGCCCGAGGGAAGCGACGGAGGAGTCACGGCGAGCCTCCTGTCGTGCAGCCCTGCAGAAAGGCCTGGCGCAAAGCTGGGGGCAGTGTGGTGAAGCTGGCTGCAGGGAGAGACATGGCAGCCTCTGAGGTGACTGCTGTGTGGCCTCGCCTCGAGCGCTGTGTGCAGCTGTGGGAGCCACGATGTAAGCTATAAAACATCAGCCTCCAAAGGAGGGATATGAAGGTGGGGAAGGGTCTAGAGGCCAAGATGAATAAGGAGCAGCTGAGGCTCTTGGTTTACTCAACACAGAGCAGAGGAGCTGAGGGAGGCCTCATGGCAGCCTGCAGCTCCTCGTAGGGAGCGGAGGGCAGTGTGAAGCTCTGCTCTTTGGGGACAGCGACAGGGTCCGAGAGAATGGTGTGGAGCTGCGTCAGGGGAGAGCAGGTGGGGGTGAGGGAAAGGCTGCGCCCCAGAGGATGGTGGGCATGGCACAGGCTGCCCAGGGCAGTGGGCAGAGCCCTGATGCTGGAGCTCAGGGTGCACTGGGACACCGCTCTGACACTGGGGCTGAGTGGTCCTGTGTGGAGCTAGGAGTTGGATTCAATTATCCTTGTGGATCCTTTCCCTCTGGGGATATTCTATGAGTCAATGAGAGGAGCCATTGCTCCTAGGGAGGAGGAGGCCTGACAGACAGGAGCAGTTGCATTGCTCCTGTCAGAGCAAAGCACAATCAACTCTGTTGTCACCTGGTGTCAGAGTGGGAGAGTAGTGAGGAGTCAGAGAAAAGGAGCTTGTTCTTGAAAGGCATTTTCTGGGGGAGTGAGGCTGCGAAATAATTGCTAGGACACCTCAAAGAATAGGGATAAAGTGCTAGAGATGAAGTGATTCTTCTTTGTATAACTGCTTCGTTTCTGAGCTCAGCATTACTCACAAAAAGGCACAATCTGTATTCCTAACTATGCAGAGTCTCATTCTCAATTTTGATGTTGCCAATCTGGATGTATTAGGATGGCTTCAGCAGAATGTGATAACATGAAAAGCTGTATAAGAACTAACAAAAATTTGGGTCAGCTGGAGCTTTTCTGGCAGACTTGGGTCTGTCCAGCACCCAAACAGTGTGCTTGTGGGTTCTGAGACTTGGCTTGGAAGAGCAGTGTATGCCTGTCCAATAAAGGATGCATGCGTATGTCTGGTGGTATGGTTTTTGTTTTGTTTCTTTGTAATTCTGCAGTTTGGCAAACAAGCTGTGTCACTTCTACGTCCACAGAAGCCTGTGTACTCATGTCTTGTTTGGAATATTTTGCACTTATGATTTGGAGGATTGGGTATGGGAGATGTCAGGTTAATGAAGACCTGGAAGACTTCTGTGGTTCATGGGAACATCATCGTCCAAATAAGGTTACTTTAGGGTCTCCTTCAAAGCATGGACCTGTGTTGCACAGCCTCAAAAATTATCCCTACTACAGCCAATCCAGTTCAAGGTTCAAGCTGTGCTCATGCCTAACCTGCCTTGTAGCCAGCAGAAAACCAGCTGAGTTTGTTTGCCTTGGAGCTGGTGGCAATTTTGTAGATTCCTCTTTGTATATCCCATCCCTGTCTTGGCTTCTGCCTGTTTTATTTTGTGTATACAGCTACAAACGGCTTGCTTGAGGGCTGTCTGCTGATTTAACAAGTGAGGGAACGCCTAGTTTGGCATTATGGGGTCAGGCTCACCTTTTATTTATTTGGTACTCTTTGTTTGTTGAGTTCCCATCTCTAGGAAGAAGAAGGAAGCCTGAATCTTGCAATGTAAAGGTGATGGAGAGCCACCAAAGCAGAGCACTGTGATGTCCCCATCCAAACCCATGGTGTGTGGCTGTGTTTCCTGGTAACGAGTGCTGCAGCCAGAGAGGGAGAGTTAGTTACAAGTTTTCTTCCATTACCTGAAATGGCACATAATGTATGGTTGTTCCTGGCCACGGGAGAAACTTAGAAGAGATGTGTCTAACCTTCCCTCCCATAAAACATACCCAGCCACTTCCTCATACCCCAGACAAAATCCAGCCCTTCTTTAGGATGGAAGGCTGAGTCTCCTTTGATCATAGGAACAGAGAGCAGAAAGGAGACACCTCTCCAATGTGCTGCTGCCACAGGTCTCATCTCCATTTCCCTGTTGAGTTTGCGGTGAAGTTTGTTCTCTCTTGGTGCTTTGCTGTCTCGGGACTGCTCTGCTGCAGAATGGAAGAGAGCTTTTTGCTTGATGAGAAGAAATGTATACCAGTTTGAATGCAATTTTCCTGCTCTTCAGGAAGCACAGAAAGGTATTTCTGCTTTAATACTGGGGGTAAGGAACTTGGTCTGTGCGCTAGGAGCTGGACTTGTTTCTTGTGTTGGAAGCAGGAGGGGCTTTTGTCCTTAGGAAACACCTGGAGCAGTATTGTGTGGTAGGAGTTGATGGAGTCTCTTGACTTGTAAATTCTTTCGCGGTGTTATGGTTGTTTGGTTACCTTTCTGAAGGTGTGCTGAACAGAACTGTCAACTTTGTGTCTCAGTAGATCACATGTTTGATGGACTTGCAGCAGGAGAACATTATTTGGGCAGTTCTTCCAGCATGCTTTTTCTTCCTTTGCGCTGTGCTGCAGGGAGCAGAGGAGCTCTTACAGTCCTCATTTATCCTGGTACCAGAAAGCCGTGACTTGTTCTGCAGACAAGTTGTCCAGCTGGTGGAATGAGTAAAGCTCTTTGAAGAGCAGCTCTCCTTTGACAGACTGGAGCGAGTGCGGCAGACTGGGACCTCCTGTGAGGATCTTTGTGGAGGGAGAAGAAGAGGGAAGGAAGCCTGTAGTGTTTTATTCTTCACAGCAAAGGAGTTTTTTGTGGAGCTGAGGTGGAGGGGCAGGTGCTTTCAGAAGCAGGTAGGTCCCCACCAGAGGTGGTGTTTGAACTACCTACAGGGGGTAGTGCAGTGCTCTGTTGGTGAAAGTGGCTGAGGTGATGAGGCAGCATAGCTTGGCCAGTCCCCAATTTGCTCCAGAAGAGTTTGGAGCAGTGGAAGAAAATGTGAGAGCAGAGAGTGGGAAATAAAAGATTTTTTTAGATCGTTCCCTGTGGAACATGACGAAGGTATGAACGGAGAGAATTTCTGTGTAGCTATTTAAGGAGAAAAAAGAAATAGAAGAGCACATGTCAGAGTGGATGAGAGGATGATAAAGAGTTACTCTTGGCCAGAAAGCCTGGGAGAGGCAGCTGGGTGGTGAAGAGAGTTAATGACCTGGAAGTGAGAGCAGGGATTAGCAGCAGCAGTAAAGAGGGGTTGCTTTGCAGCCTCAAGGACAGCTTGGAGCCTCGCTGATGAGATGCACAGCTCTGGGAGAGGGTGCTCCTTTTCACTGAGCTGCTGTATTACGTGTTTTGCAGATATCTCCATGGGGCTTGTTACTGCAGTACCTGAAGTTCATTATTCAGACATAAGCGTTACAGTGTGTTGGTGTTACTTCTGAGACAGGGAGGTTGATTTTAATAGGGGAAGCCGTGTAACAACAGACAAAGAACAGGTACTGACTTGAGGGATGGGAAGGGAAGAGTCATCTGAGGAGGAGGAGCTGAGAGCAGATCTGGGCTGGAAGCTTAGCAAGCGGGGGATGCTCAAGGGACCAGTGAGGCAGAAGGGCTTTCCGAGTGGCGATACACCCAGCTGCAGTGGGAGTGCCTGCAGAGGTGAGGTCATGGATGGGAAAGAGAACAGAACAGAGGCTGACGCTGCGCTCAGAGTGGCTGGGAGAAGAGCATCTCCTGGAGCCCGGAGTGAATAGAAATGGCACAGAGCGGGCCCGGGGCCTGAGGCTCATTGACTTGTACTGGCAAGCTCTTAGCAGGGAGGAGAGGTGGTGGGAACTAAGAGGGAGGAAATGCCAGGCAGCTGGGGAGCCGGGGAGCTCAGATGTGCTTGTGATTGGGGCTGGCCCCTCCTGCTGGCAGAGCAGCCCGCTCCACTGCAGCGGGAAAGGTGGGGCTGCTGCACCGCGCTTGGGCAAACTGCTTTGTGCTGTTCCCTGCTCGCTCCAGCACACATGGCTCACAAACAGCATCTCTCCCAGCGGCTGTGGTGGTGTCAGGAGTGGGGCTGAAGCCTGGTTTGATGTGCTTGTGTTGGTCAGCTGATGCTGATGTCAGGGAAACTGTGAGGTTGATACCTGGTGTTAAGGGAAAAGCTTTGTTTTAGCAGTCTGGTATGTTCCCAAGGATAAAACTGTGTTAAAGAAGCTTGTAACAAGCCTCTCCTCTCCTGATTCATGTTACCAAAGTAGGGGGATGTTGAAGGCAGAAGGATGGTGGGCCTGATGCAGGAAGAGCTGCCTGAAAACAAGAATTCAGACCGATGCCACAACGTCAGTGTAGAAGTAATCAATGTTAAAACCCTTTGAGTGCTGCAGCATAAGAATGTATCCGGCCTTCCCCGTCAGTGGGTTTTCTCTAGGAAATTTTATGTGATACGTGCATATATCCATTTTCTAAAGAACAGTTGAAGCTGTGTTTTGTCTCTCTCCGTGCCTGATATGGAAGACTAGAAGCTAGTGGCAGTGACTTTTCCAGTCTCCCTAGTGAAGGGGACATGGCTGTAGACTGTTGGCCTGCAGTACACATACCATGGTGGGAACATGTGGCGTTGCTGAGTGGGTGGGGAATGTACAGACACGTTCTGTCAGCCTCAGATGTCTTCTAGCAGGACCCATAGGTTCTTCTTCCCTGAGTGTTACCTATAAGGTTATTGATGCACCTTTTGTCTCTCTCTGTACCACCTTTCCCCTGTAGTGGCTCAGCATTCATATTCTGCCCTTCTTCCCTGTGGAAGGAGGGTGATCCAGGTTCCCCACGATGCAGGTGCTCTTCTTGCACAGTGATGCTGTGCTGCACCTCCTTGGAAAATGTGAGGACTCAGTTCAGGGCAAGGACTGTTCCTGTCTTGGGTAAGCTGCAGGTAAGCCAATCCTCACAGGAAAGTACTGACCGTATCTTGTTTGGAGGAGAGCTCAGATAAGCCTCTGCACTGCTGGTGCTTTCCCCCAAAATACTCGTTGGCATTCTGAGGAGAAATGGGAACATTGTGCTCTCCCAGCAAGTCTGGAGTAGGCTGACTTCTTTCTAGAGGTGTTTCCCTCTTCCATGAGTTTTCAATGAGTTGCATCAGTGTGATGTTCCCAAGTCAGATAATAACCACTAAGGCTGGAGTGGGACTCAAACCAGCAGAACTTCAGCCAGAACAGAGCTGAGCTGAGAAAGCGCTGGCTTGAGTTTCCAGTTACCTGCTAAAAATAAGGAAAGCGTCTCTAAGTTCTTTTTAAGAGGCACCAAGTTGAGAGGACGTCTCTACACAAGAGTTTGTATCGGTAAGCTCTTATAACTTGTTGCAAGACCTGGCCTTGCTTTCCATATCTGTAGCACCACACGTGCTGGAAAGCTCTGATGCCTTCATAGTACCTCACAGGCATGAGCAGAACTGATGTACGCTTTGCAGATAGCGCTGCCCGTGCAGCCAGCTGACACACAGCCTCGCAGAAGTGGATGAGGTGTGCTGAAATGCAAGTGCAATGGTGCCAATGTGCCCAGTTTCTTCAGTCCAAGAAGATACTGACCATGTCTTATTGCCTGTGAGCCTTGTAGGTAAAAGCTTGTGAGTTTTGTTTGACTTTCTTTTCCATCACAGGCCCAGCAGCCGCAGCAGCAGCCTCAGCAGCAGCAACAACAAACAACTTCGAATAAACGCCCCAGTAACAGCGCTCCCCCACCAACCCAGCTAAATAAGATCAAGTACTCAGGGGGACCCCAGATTGTGAAGAAAGAGCGTCGACACAGCTCTTCTCGCTTCAATCTGAGCAAAAACAGGGAACTGCAAAAGCTTCCAGCCCTTAAAGGTACAGAAACTGTGGGACAGGAGCGACCTCCCTCACAAGCTGTGCTTTCTCCAGGCGGAAGAGCGTGAGGGTTCTTTCCAGGGTGACCTTAGTAGTCTCCTGCCAGCAGTGCTGTAGGGATGACTCTGGGAAAGGTGCTTGATGTGACAGCAGGTTGTGAATTGATGAATAGCCTAAAAGAAAAAGAGAATATTCTATATGAACTTGATTATTTGCTTTCCCATTTGAAGCAGTTGAAGCCCTAGTGCTTACATTTATTTGAGGTTGCTTCAGATTCTTCAGCAGTTTGTGTGGGAGGGTGGTAAAGTGTGGAGAACTTAGTAGAGACTGCTCTTGGCTCCTGCAGTCACCTGTTCCTGGGAGAATACCAGACCACCTTCTCCTCCTCAAGTTTCCATTGCAAGTTGTGATAGTGCTGTTGAACTTGTCTACGTTGGGGCAATTATCCAGCATTAGCAGTTAGTATCCATAATGGTGCAATTAAAGGTGCCTTAAGTAGAGACATGGAGAAAGTGTTGTCAGCAGTCACTCAACCAGGCCTGTTGCTGACACTGCTCACAGAAACAGGCCTTTTAGGAAAGGTGGCTGTCTGATAGTTCAGTTAGTCTATGAAGGAAGCTCATAAAGTGGGTTTCTTTTCCGCAGTAGCTTGCAATGGGAAGGGATTGATGCTTAGTAGATCAGACATCTGCACAGTGTTTGAAATCGCCAGATGGAATAGTTGTTCTTTACCTCCATTGTCCCAGTCTCCATATTAGGGGTTACTCTCCCTCCTACCACACCAGCTCAAGGGGGGCTGTGACTAAAGAAGGGAATGCATGCTTGGGGGTGAACCATGCTGATTCCTAGGCGAACCAGATAGATGCTTTGCCTACCTCGGAGGTCTGACAATCCCTATTTTCTCTTCCAGATGCTCCTCCACATGAGCGAGAAGAGCTTTTCATCCAGAAGCTGCGGCAATGCTGTGTGCTTTTTGACTTCATCTCTGACCCCCTCAGTGACCTAAAATTCAAGGAGGTGAAGCGAGCAGGTCTCAATGAAATGGTAGAATACATCACGCACAACCGTGATGTCGTCACTGAGGCCATCTATCCTGAAGCTGTTATTATGGTAGGGCATGGGGCCAGCATACGCTTGTTTGCCAAATAAATGGGGACTGTTCAGATGCGTGTGCTTTTGGGAGGGAGGGAGGGAAGAGAAAGAAAAACAGATTTGTCAGAGAGGAGTGTGACCTCAGTCTTTCCCATCCTTTGTAAAGAGAGGTGGAGGTTTTTTTCCCTGGCACAAACTTCACTTGTGAAGTTTATTTGTAATCTGTAACCCTGCGGCCTCTAGGAGGAAAGCTTTTTGCTATGGTAAATGTGTTGCTGTGCAGTGAGGGATTTGCTGCAGGAGGCCCATCGTAAGAGTAGTGATGTTGTTCATTGTCCTTTTTGCTGACCTCAGTTTTCAGTGAACCTCTTCCGGACACTTCCGCCGTCATCCAATCCCACAGGAGCGGAGTTTGACCCTGAGGAAGATGAGCCTACATTAGAGGCTGCCTGGCCACACCTACAGGTGAGGAGAAGGAAGGTATAGATGTGGGAAGCTGAGGGTCTGTGTCATCTGGATGCCTGCCCCAGTAAGTGAGGGTTGCTGTGTGCTAGGATAGGGAAGGGCCAGGCCATGGGTGAGAAGCAGCATGTAGGCAATGCAGGCGATAGGGGCATTCTGGAAACAAGCTGATGGCTCTGTGTAGTGTTCACCTGCAGGTGGCTGTATTCTCGTGTGGCACTGAGGTAGGCTGGAACACTTTGCTGGGAGTAAAGAGAATTGTGCCATATTGTGTCTGTAAGAAGCATTTCCCCGCAATGATAATTCCAATCCTGATGGCTCAAGAGCTCTCATCCTCTAGGCTTCAGCAGTATTGGAGACAGCACCCTTGTCTGTTTTGGCAATCCTCCTTGCCATGGTCTCTCGGAGGCATGTGGAAGAGTAGGAGTGCTTGTTGCCAAAGCAAAACCTATGCTAGCACCTGCTAACACATCTCTTTTATATTTATGTAACACAGTTGCAATAACTGGGAGCAAATGTGACCAGAAAAAAATGGGGAACAGGAGTGGCAGAAGAAGAAAAGGGGCTGAGGATTTCTTCAGTAAGCTGTGTCCCGAGAAATAGTTTAAGACAAATTAGGTGAAAAGCGTTATGAAGGCAAGAACAAACATGATTAATAGAGCTCAGAAGTGTAAGTCAGGAGGTAAGTTTATAAGAGTCTCCTCAGACACTTGCCGGGAGACATGCAGTCAATCTGACAAAGGCAGAGCAAGAGCTAGTTGCTGCAGGATGAGGCAAAAGTACAGAGGACATAAAGTGCAGTTCTGCAGCAGTGGTTAATCACTTCTCACTGCTCTGGTTGACGTAGGGATGTGAGTGTTGACAGGAGTGGTATTTCCTCAGCACCAGTGTGCTGCAAATGGTAGGAAGCATTTATTTCTTAGAACTAAGTCAGCAGCAGGCAGCGCAGGCCTGTGGCAAGAGGTCCACTGCTGAGTTTTCATCATGACCTCGGGTTTTTTTGTGCTGCTGTTCTTGGCAGCTCAGTTTCACCTGTGGTTGGGTGGCCCCACAGCTCCTTCAACTCCCAAGTTGGAACCTGGGGATACAATGCTCTAGTTTGGCCTAGTCGTCCCTCAGAGGCACTCTCTCTTGACAAGTTCTGCCTTTGGGTAATCTTGCCAGTCTAGGGCAGCAGTAGCACTGGAGGTTTCAACACTAGCAGCCTTCTGAAAGCAAGCTGCTGTTCTTGTGGGATTGTGACACAGCATGAATCTCACGTGGCTTAGTGGAGTCAATCCAAATTTGAAGCCAGTTCTCAGGGATCAAGAGGACACAGTATTTTCCTGGGGTCCATTTCATGTCTGCTCTTTTGTTCTTCCCCAGTATGTCTCAAGGGCTTCCAAGAAGACAAGGCTCTGGAGGGACCTTATAGTGGCCTTCTAGTACCCAAAGAGTGCCTACAGGCGTGCTGGGAAAAGACTTTCTGTGGGGGCATGTAGCAACAGGACAAGGGGAGGTGTCTTTAAACTGGAAGGGGGTAGATTTAGGCTAGATACTGGGAAGAAATTTTTTACTGTGAGGTTAGTGAGACCCTGGAACAGGTTGCTCAGAGGCATTCAGTGCCAGACTGGATAGGGCTGTGAGCAGCCTGGTCTAGTGGGAGGTGTCCTTGCCTATAGCAGGGAGTTGGAAGTAGATGACCTTAAAAGTCCCTTCCAACCCAAACCATTCTATTCTATGATGCTAATAAACCTAAGCCTCTGTCTTCTCTTCTGGAGGTTTCTGTTCTCTGTAAAGGTGGGGACTGAAGCTAGGAGATTTTCCCAGGCTTAGTGTCTTGATCTGAGTAGGTAGCTTTTGTCTTTGGCAGGACCTGAAATGATGAGATCTCATGCAGACTTGGGCACTTATATGCCACTGCTCCATAGCCCATTATAGTGAGGGCAGCTGAATCGGTGTCAGTGGGTGAGGAAATGTGTATTCCTGTGTTTTCTGTGCCCCCACTTCAGCTTTCCAGCCTTCTTTCAAGCCCCTAAGGAGATGGAAAACATGTAAAACGTGAAATAAACAGTGATGAGAAAATGAGGAGGATTTCTAAATGATCTCTTTTTCCTCCTGCAGCTGGTGTACGAGTTCTTCCTCAGGTTCTTGGAGTCCCCTGATTTTCAACCAAATATAGCGAAGAAATACATTGACCAGAAGTTTGTACTGTCTGTAAGTAATCATAGCCCCTGCCACTGTGCAGCACCTTTGTGAAGGACATGCAGCAGACTTTAGCCAAAGTTTTATGCAAATAGTCCAGTTTAATCAGGAGATATTAGATAATTAAGGTTTTTTTTCTTCTTATGTCTTTTCTTGGAAGAGCAGCTGGAGCTATCAGAGCTGGGCGAGCGGGCATGCAAGCTGTAGTCTCTGGAATTTGTCATCATTGGTGGGAGAGGGGCAGTGGGGGCCTTGCAGGAGGAGCATGGGAACACACTGCTTTGGAGTGTGTCCAGGCCATTGCTGTGCTTTACAAGATGAATGCTGATGGTACCAACTTGTGGCTAGGGAGGTGACCACTGTGCTCAAGGTGCTGAAGGCATCTCTCAACTGGCGGAGCCGCTTTTGCTGAGTAGGAGCAGTGCCTAGTATTGCTCATAGCCTCATCCAGGCAGTCGTGTGTGCAGACACTGAATTTCTGTCCCCACAGCTGCTGGATCTCTTTGACAGTGAAGACCCCAGAGAACGTGACTTCCTAAAGACTATTCTGCACAGGATCTATGGGAAGTTCCTGGGTCTGCGAGCGTATGTGAGACGGCAGATCAACAATATATTTTACAGGTGAAGTGTTTCCTAGTGCCACTGGCTTGATGAATGTTTGGTACAACACAGTGAGAGCGATTCTGAGCATTGGACTGTCCCTAATCCAGGTTTGAATTAGCCAAGTAACTTGGTTATATCATTCTGTTTTGGTATGGACAGCACTGGCCTGTGCCTAAGAGCAGCAGACGTTTGGTAGTGCTGTCTTCAGCATACATAGCAAACGTTGGGATTGGTGAATGTTAGCTTCTCTGAAGTTGTGTTGATCAGGGAGCAGTGAATAGACTATTTGCCTCCATCTTTCACATCTTGAACTGTTTTCTCCAAGTTCTGTTTTCTAGAAGAATACCTTTCCCCACTGTTTTTCCTTCCTTTTCTTTATCAGACTGGATCCAGTGTTTGGCAATGACATTCTTCTCTCTTCAGGTTCATCTATGAAACAGAGCATCACAATGGGATTGCAGAACTGCTGGAGATCCTAGGAAGGTAAAGATGGTCTTGTAAGTCCCAGAGGATTCACAGTGCATGACATGTCCTAGCTCAGTGTGCTGTGTGAGCTAGTAGTGCCCTCTGCCAGCTGGTGTTGCAGGTGCTATCTTCAGAGAATCTCTGGTGAAGCACACAGTGCTTTCCATCCTGCTGACAAATGCAGTGATAGTTTTTCCCCACATCCGTCTGCTCTTCTTTTGAGTTTGAGTCCAGCCACACTTACTGCCTGCTGAGGCAAAAGAGCTTCTCACAGCCTTGAGAAACTGTAGCAGTGGGCAGCCTCCTCCATGGCTTTCACTGCCCTTCAGCAGAAGCAGCCCTCTCTTACGCTGCTGTTACTCTGTTCTGTTGAAGCTGAGCCTTGGTGTCTGGGCTACCTCTGTGATGGACTTCCCCAGAGGTTCTGTTAAATTGTGTCTGAAGGTTCCTGGGCTTATTCTGGCACAGAAAGCTGTGGAGCCTTGGCTCCTTTAGAGGCTTTTCCCTGCCATGCCTGATAAGGAAGCATGCTTTCACTGGATATGTTTTGCAAGGTGGGGCCCCAGCAGCTGTACTTCCAGTGGTAGGTGTTCTCTCCAGTTGTTAATGAAAGCTAAGGCATCTCACTTATTCTTCTGTGGTGAGACATACTGTGTTTCTGCTGGATGAAGAAATTAATGAGATTCTTGTTTCTTTTCAGCATAATCAATGGGTTTGCTCTGCCTCTGAAGGAAGAGCACAAAATGTTCCTCATCAGGGTCTTGTTACCACTGCACAAAGTGAAATCTCTCAGCGTCTACCACCCACAGGTGAGAAGTGCTTCAAGTCTTCAGGGCAGAATGCAGTTCTTGCAGTAGTGCTTATGCAGGTTTGCTTGTAGCTATTCATCAGGCTGCATTACTCTATTACATGACCTTCTTGCTGTGAGATGTCTGGGGCTTTTCACTGGCTCTTTACTGTGGTGATTTGTCCCAGCCTTGCAGTGTCTGGGCCTGTGTGCATTATGAGTGTGCTTTTTTGGCACTGGCTGATAGGAAGGTATCCTCCACTTCCTGCTGACTTAATGCTCTGACCTGCTTTGCCTCTCTGTGATGGAAGATTGTGAAATATTGGTGCATTACTGAAACGAGGGGTAAAATTCAGAGCTCCATTCATCAGCCTCTGTATGTGGTGTGTCAGCTGTTAGTCATTGCTGAGATATGCAAATGGTTTGGAGTGCTGGACTGCTGGACTGGCATAGAGATTAATTTCTTGCCATTTAGAAGTTAGAAGAGAAGCATGGAGATCGGGAGCTTGGAAGTGAAAAATGGATGCTGAACAGTGATGTCTGTTCTCCCAGCCTTGTTCTTACTGGTTTGCTCCTTGTCATGTGTGTGGCTGTGCTTGCATTAGAGTGCATTAGCTGTGGGCTGCTCTATGTGAGTCATGTTATTCTCTAATATTGCATGCACTCACTAAGCTCAGGCCCTATCTAGTCTTAGGGCCCACTTGCCATCAGAATTGGGACTGACTTAATACAGTCTGATAGTGTTAGGACGAGGGGGGATGTCTTTAACCTAAAAGAGGCAAGACTTAGGTTAGATATGGAGAAGTTTTTTACTCAGAGGATGATGGGGCACTGGAACAGGTTGTCCAGAGAGGTTATGGGTGGAGACATTCAAGGTTGGGTTGGATGGGATCCTGGGCAGCCTAATTTAGTGGTTGACAAACCTGCCCACAGCATGAGGGTTGGAATTAAATGATCTTTGAGGTCCCCTCCGACATAAGTTGTTATGTGATTACAACTGGATTCATTTGGAGCTGCAGCTGTCTGCTTGTCACACACACACTGTGGAGGGCCTAACATTACTTCCAGTTGTGGGTGGTGGTGTTGCTTGTATCTCCAGTAGACTTGAGGAAGCTCTAACTTTGCCATGTGTTCTTCCTGCAGTTGGCATACTGTGTTGTACAGTTCTTGGAGAAAGACAGCAGCTTGACAGAGCCGGTGAGTAACCTTTCTTAACCTCTGCATGACAGTCAAGGCCCCAAAGCTTCACAGCTTCCTTAGGGATCAGAAAGTGTGAAAAGAGGCTGCAGAGTCCGGGGGGATGTAGATTATTTACCAAACTTGCTTGGCACCTTGTGGGCAAAATGGACGGTGCTGCTCATGTGCAGGCCTTTCTGAAAGCTTCAGGAACATGGCTAAAGTTTGCCTTTGTGCTTCAGATCTATACCAAGCATCCTTTCAGGGCAGAGCCAGTGATAGATTCTGCAGAGACAAAACAAATAGCTTTCTGACACCTGGTGGAACCAGCGTGAACTCGCAAAGACTTTGAAATAGGAAGAGTTCAGTCTGCCAGAGTTGGCTGAAAAACTGTCAGAATGAGGTTATAAAACTGGAACCCAAAAGACTACTTAGGCAAGCCCCTGTTTCTTGATGAAAGTATTCTTCCTGCTCTAGCATCAGTATGCTAACTCCACAGTATTAAGTCACAGTGCAGAGACATATGCCTTCAGGATGTAGTGCTGTTGAGACAGCAAGTTCTAAAATGTGTGAGCAGTGAGTCCCTCACGTATTCCAGTTACTGGCTACGCAGGCATGCAGTGTTAGCCAGGCTGTATGCTGGTTTGGCAGGGGGTTGGCAAGAGACAAATGTTTCTCCACCTACTGCAGGCCAGGAAATGTCTTCTACAGAGCTGAGCTTCGCAACCTCAAAACAGCAGATGGCCATGTGCTTGTGTCATTATAGCAGGGAGCACCAGAAAGTGTGAGCATTTTAATGAGTAACACTAGCTGAGGTCGTTCTGTTCTTTGGCTGAAATGTGTGTGTTTTTGGTGCTCAATGGAAGCTGGTCAGCTTTCTGGCTCTGCAGCTCTGATGCTGGAATGCTGAAACAGATCTCCTTGCTTTTTTCTTTTCTTCCTTTTTAAATGTAGGACCTCAGTTTTCTGTGTTCCTAAAAGCCTGCTCTGAAACAAATTGTGTAAAGTAGCTTCCTGATCATGCTGAATACTTCCTGTAGCTTAAATCCAGCCTAGCAGCCTCCTGTCAAAGCACTCACTGTAGGGTGAGGGATAAGAGAGAAATGGGAAAGTCTGTCAATACTTCCAAGATTCATTCTGAAGCTTATTCAAATAATAAAGCTCATCACTGCTTGCTTAGCTGGTGATCCGTGGATTAGAGACACAGCTCTGGTTTGTTGTCAGTGGGCCATTGCATAGGGTCCTTACCATATAGACTTGTTGAAACATCCTGCTTGTGAATGTTTTAAATAGCCTCCTGGTGTTGCTGGGGTTATTGAAGTCTGGGGTTGTACCCCAGCAAGGCCCTGACTGCAGTAGAAGATGTTGCCATCAATGCTGAAAGGAGCCCAGGTCTTACTAGGTCTGCAGTCACTTAAAGTGTGCCACCCAAACCGTGCTCAGTAAGGCTGAACATGGTAGCTCTTACATTACAGCAGCCTGAATGATTGCCAGGTGAGCAAGACTTCAGGTGTGCTAAGTAATAGTGAACACAGACTCAGCACACCTTGCACCACCTTAGCTGTAGGAGAAACTCTCTGAGTCACTGGAGCTGACTCTTGCCTGAATAGCAGACCTGAGTGACGACAAATGCTGAGGATACCAAGCTGCTACTTGAGCCTTGAGTTGGTGGCTCAGATGTTCCTCATCTTGCTGTTGCTTTGCCTACTGCTGTCCTTGTGCTGGGGTGAAATTTCCCTCATGCGTTTGCTTCAGGATCAGATTGCTGAAGTACAGAGTTTAGAATAGTAGCTCTTACCAGGAAATGGCTGTTTCTGTTGTCTGTAGAGTTAGTGCACAGTTAGCATTCCTGTAAACCCCATACTGATGGCTCCAGCTGAGTGAAGGTCTGCAAGATCATGGATTCTGTCTTTGACAGTACGTAGAAGTAGGTGGTTAGGCAAGGAAGTGGTGTTAATAAATGAAGTGGGATATAGCTCTATATTCCCCTAGTGTATTCCTCCACTATCTTGTAAGCAGTAGTTTTCTCAGACAGAAGTTGCATCTGTATTGTCATATTTCATATCATCGTTAGGTTTAGCCTCCATAAACTTATCTGCTCCTTTCTGGAACAATCTGGACTCTAGACAAAAGTCCTCAAGAACAGCTCTGTAATCCAGCTACCTTTGTATGTAATGGTATTTCCTTTTGCTCGCCCTGAATGTGGCCATTGCATTATTTGTTGGGTACTTTCTAGCATTCAAGCTCTGTGGTATATTAAATAACAATTCCTTCATCACCTTCCCCATAGCATTTCTGATTTTACTGGTTGATCTTTCATTGTTGCTCTGCACCATCTGGCATCCCCTGCCCACTCTGAGTTGATCCTTGTTAAAGTGAGCTGGAGGAAGTAGTAGTTCTAAGCTTTGTGCTGGTAGTACCAAATGTTAGCATCCTGGGCAGCACTGCTGTCTTGTATGCAACTTGGCAGAGTTTGTGCTTTTCTCTTCCTTCTTCCCTGGTAACTCACCCTCACTCTCTGAGAGTGTCATTATTTCTGTTACTTCCTCTCCTTTGCTGTTGTGACCAGACTTTTAAAATCCTTTTTCACCCTCTGTGTTAACTTTCAGTCTCTAACACTGTGTCTGTACCCTTCCTACTCAGGTGATTGTGGGCTTGCTGAAGTTCTGGCCGAAAACACACAGTCCCAAGGAGGTGATGTTTTTAAATGAGCTGGAAGAGATCCTGGATGTGATTGAGCCATCTGAATTTGTGAAAGTTATGGAGCCCTTGTTCAGGCAGTTGGCCAAGTGCGTCTCCAGCCCACACTTCCAGGTGGGTCCCAGCTCAGGGAGTGGGTAGGGGTCTGACTTGTAACCCACTTGGCACGTGAGGGTTATGCCACAGCTCTTGAGCTTGTCTTTGTGGACCAGTGGCACGTGGTGGTGCCACCAGAGAGAGTACTGGGGTTCCATGTGGTGGGAGGCAGTGAGAGTCCTTGCCCAGCCACAGAGCAATCTCATCCAGAGGGGTAACTAAGCTGATCAGTGGATCCCCTCCTGCTGCGCTGTGCTGTGCAGCAGCTGGAGCAGAGGTACTCTGCTACCTCCTGTTTTAGCTGGCAGATGCAGTATAGAGGAGATCCATCCAGTGTCACCCTCTCACAGTAGGTCCAAGCTGGCTGCAGTACTAGGTTGAGGCTGATGAAAGAGGCTTGTGGAACACAAGTGGCTTCAGACAAGGTTCTTTGTATTATTCCAGCATTGTTGACAGGTATACTGAAAGTGGTAGTGTGCTTCTTCCTTGTTCCATGAAACGTGGATTGCCCATATGTGGGAGTGGGGTGAAATGGTGATGTAGCCCATCCCTGGAGTGTGACTGCACAGTGAGGCAGACTGCAGCCGGTGTCTTTTAATACAGTGAGGAACAAAGTTGTGTTCAGAAGCCAAAAATGGGATCAAGATAGGTTGTGTGTAAAAATTTCCCAGAAGGGAGTGACTCTGGAAAGGACTTGGGGAGCTTGATCAAAATTAATTGGACGTGAACTGCTTGTTTGGTTGATGGGAACCAAGGGGCTAATGAGACCTTTACACCTGGAAGTAGCTACAGTAGGAAACTGGAACAGTAGAGCACAGTAGGAAAAGGAACTTGAATGGAAGAAGGGAAAGGCTGGAGAAGAGGCGTCCTGTACTTCGTACCAGTCCTCTTCTGCTACCAGCTCTTTGCAAAACAGGACTGAAAAACATGGACAACTTGTGAACACTTCACAGTCTAGGGGAATAAACCTCAAAGGTGTTCCAAACAGGAAGAGTAAACAGTTTCAGTGACTGCAACTTGTCAGAGAGCAAAAGTGAGAATCGTCTTCTTCGTAAGTCTGAACACCTTGGTGTGGGAGAGTTTTCTCCAAGTGGATTGTGCACTAATCAGCAGTCAGAGGCTTAACAGGATATAATAGGTGGAAACCAAGGCTAGGTAAGTGAGCACAAGATGAGTTTCACTTCATTTACTCGTGTGAAATGATATATTAAGAGGATATAGTGAGTTCTGTCAGACAAAATGTAGAACAGACTTAGATGCTTCTTTTCCCAGGTGTTTAGCTCATCCTCAAGCCAGTGCTAAGTGCAGAAATTCACACATCAGCTTGGTTACTGCGTTGCTGAAATTTGTAGCTAAATATGAAGAAGTGTGGTTGAATCTCTCTTGAAACTTGCCAGATTTGTTTGACGTGTTGGAGCAGAGTTGGTGCCCCGAGTCTTTCCATATTTTCACCCATGCTAAATCAGGAAGATGGATTGTGATCCTGGTATTTGAAGCATGCTCAAATGCCTGGGGAGACTGTGTTAGAGAGAAGGCCAGGGAGGGATGGTAGCTGTGGAGCTTTACAATCTGAGGAAATGAAGGAGTCCTGGAGTTAGTCTGTGCCGTGACCTGAAGAGGATGATGTTACTGTGCTCAAGTGTTGTGTAGAGAGCATTGGAGTTAATGTTGGACTTGCCTGCTTAAGAATGCAACGTTTTCCCCCCAGGGAAGTGAGAAGTGTCTGGTTAAATGCCATAAGAGAAGGAACTTAAGGCAAAGGGAAAAAAAATGGCCATGCAGACGTTGGCAAAGGTCAGCCGTGCTGCCTGTGCTGCGGGGAAGTGTTTGCTCCTCAGCTGGGCGGTGGTAAGCTCTGGTCTCAGCACTGCACAGTTTCCACGTGCACCACAGGTGTTACTGGAAGGAGCCTCTCCAAGAATGGGTTTCTCTCCCACTGCAGGTGGCAGAGCGAGCGCTGTACTATTGGAACAACGAATATATCATGAGCCTGATCAGCGATAACGCAGCCAAAATTCTCCCGATCATGTTTCCAGCGCTCTACAAGAACTCCAAGAGTCACTGGAACAAGTAGGTCTTTCCGCATGCCCTGGCACTTGCTGTGCATGCAGGATTGCTTGACCTACTAGCGATCTTGGGGCATGCTGCTACAGTGCAATGGTGCATGGCACTGGGTGACACCAGGTGCTGAGACAGGGGGTGTTGTTAGTGTTGGCATGGGAAGGTGCCACAGCAGACCACGGTGGCCTGTAAGGTCTCAGACATCTTGCAGGGGTTGGCACTGTGGCTGTCGAGTCCACCCAGAGTTTGATACCTGCGTCTCCCTAGCTCTCTTGGAGGTGTGCTGTAGGTTTTCCAGCGGATTCTTGACTGCTTGTTAACTGATGATCACCCACTTGTGATGGGATACCTCGTCTGATGCACGTACCTGGCTGCCCTTGAGTACAGAAAGAATAGAGAAAGCAGAAACGGCTGGGCAGATGTCAGATTGCCTCCTGTGTCTGCACCCTCAATACTTGTCTGTGTTGCAGTTCTCCCCTAAACTTCCTTCTAGCCTGTCTTCCAGCTGCTTCTTACTAACTGATTTCTTACCCATTTAAATCAAACTGCAGAACTCCTTCTTAATGCATTAGCTGAAAGTGCTTAGTCCACAGCTGAGATCCTGAAGCTTTCTTGTAAATAAACAAATAAATAAATAAAATACAGGGAGATGGGGGGGGAAAAAGTCATCTTCTCCTATTCCAGAGTATGGAAATATCAAAGTAATTAATTCTGGGGAAACTGGACAAGACCAGGACTTAAGTATATGCTGTGGTAGTAAAGACGGGGTTGTGAGGTAGAATTGCTCCTTACTGGCCTGCTGTTTCTCTTAGTTGTAGCAGGAAGCACAGACTTGAGCCATCAGGCAGGGCTGGTCTGAATGTGTGAACATCTCCATGCTGAGCTGTCCTGCTCTCTTTTCCATTCAGTGTCTGTCAGTCTACACATGCAGGCACCAAAGCATCACACTCTGTGCATACGTTTACCAGAAGACAGACACATGCATATGCAGACAGGCACACACACACACATACAGACATGAGTATAGCTGCTCTCCCACTCAGTGTTACTGCACCTGATCAGAGTTCAGAAGAGGACTTCATGTTCCTGTCTGAAATGCTCTGCCAGTTCTCTTTCCTCCTTTTGCAGTCAACGTTCCTGATTCTGCTCTTTCTACTTTTCTTACTTGTCTCTGTTGTGTTGGTATGGCAGAGGAGGTCCTAAAGGTGTTTTCCTCTTTTCTCTCTATTTTAGCATTGATGGCTTTGTCTCGGCACAGGCTGAGTGCCTCAGTTTCTCCTCTTCCTTCCCATAGCTCGTTTCCTCCCTGTTTTGTCAGTCAGACTGCATAAATCCAGCAGGGCTGTAGCTCTCTTCCTTATTCCATCTGTAGAGCTGGAGATGCACCAGGGCTCACATCTACAGTCTCATCATTTCCCACAGCTCAGGTATCTCACAGTCAGCTTGAATACTTGTTTTTATTCCTTGGGGAGGGTCTTTGTCACTGAGCCTGCTCAGGCACGTTGTAACCTATATGTAGATTACTGACACAAAGGCAGGTTTTTTTTCCCTCTGCTCTTTTCTGTTTCCAGGACTGCTGGATGTCTGTGTTTTGGGCAGCTTAGTAGCAAAACTCATGAGTGGGCAGCCCAAAAAAGTCATGTTGTGCATCTTGAGGTTGATTGTGGAAGGCAGTAGAGCTAGATTAGGGAAATCCCTCTTCTGAACACCTCTGAGAAGGTCCTTAGAGTCCTTTCTCTCCAGTTTGTGACTTTAGGAATTGAGTGCGATTGTTTTTGCACTTGCAAAGAGCAGTCAGAGCAGGGCTATCCCAATGGTCTTCTCTCTTTTCACTCCATCTCTTTCTCTGTATGATGGTCTCAGATGCCATCTGTGCAAAGGGGTTTTTCCACTCTAAGAGGAGGGGCTGTGTGAGGACATGTACCAATGCTGTGATGTATGAGTTGTTGTGACTGTTTGCTCTTGTCTCTCTGCTGCTGGGGCTAACTCAGGGCTGAGATTCTGGAGGACACCACCATGACTTGTTCTCCCTTCCTGTTTTCTTTGCAGGACGATCCATGGACTGATCTACAATGCACTAAAGCTGTTCATGGAGATGAACCAAAAGCTTTTTGATGACTGCACACAGCAATACAAGGCAGAGAAGCAGAAGTGAGTAAGAGCTTCTTGCCCAGTGGCTTGAGCTCGTTGTGGAGTCTCTTTGAATACACTAACAGCTGGTAGATCCCAGTAGACAGAGGGGGAATGAAAGGCTGGTGCAAATCATTTTATCAGAAAGTAGAGGGCTGCTCAGCGGTAACTGTATGTGGGGGTGAGAAGAGTTAGTAAACATGTGATCAGGTAATCCTTCCACTTCTGCTGAAGCAGTTAGCTTGGAAAAGAGCGACAGAGTTTTCTGGGTCATGAGGAAGTAAACTGCAGTGTGAAAAGTCTGCTTAGCTTTACAGAGAAGCTTTTGGTCTGCCTTGAAAATATTTGGCAGTTCTTATATGTCTTGGTAATGCTTGTAGAATCCTGCTGCTTTAGAAAGTGTTTTCTGAATAATTCTGCTGTGGAGAGCATAATGAATCTTTTGCACCACAGGATGCTTTCAGTTTTCCAGTAATAAAGATGGAATAATATCTGGAACTTCGAAGAGCAAATGGTGGGGATAAAAATCTTAGCTCAGCAAGTATCTGTGCTGTGATGCAAAGAGAAAACACTCTGCTCTTTCTGCTGCCTTGTGTTCAGAGTGATTGGTGAGTCCAGTCAGTTCATTAAGATAGAAAGAAACTTTTTCTTTCCCAAGTCAGATTTCTGCTGGCTTTGTTTTGCAGAAGAGCAATAAATAGCAAAGGTGAGATGTGGAGTTTGGGGGTGGGTAACATATGGAGAAATGAGTAGTTTGCAGTTTCTAAGTTGACGGCGTTAATAACTTTTTTGCTGCCCAGTTATGAAGGGACAGAAGTCACCTGTGTCTCTGGAATGACAGATGTATCCCTACAGTACATGAAGTCATATTGGGCCTAACTGGGAACAAGCAGCACTTGCACCCCATTGTGACTTGCCCAAAGACTCTGTGCATGCTTAGTGCAGACTGCCTCAGGAAGGGGGACTTTGGGGACCCAAAAGGGTACCAGTGGCCTATTGGTATAGCTTCTGTGGAGACAGAGGAGATATTAAACGTCTATCTGCCTTGCCTAGTCTTCCAGAGGACCCTTCTGATGTGAAGGCTGCTAGGAATTGAAGAACTGTAAGTGCCAGTTGCTACCACAGCAGTGGATTGGCAGCAAAGGTTGTGCACCAGGGGGTGGTCAGGCATGGAACAGGCTCTGCAGGGCAGTGGTCACAGCTCCGAGCTGCTGGAGTTAAAGGAATGCACAATGCTATCTGACATAAGGGTTTGAATTTTGGCTGGTCCTGTGTGGAGTTGGATTTGGTGATCCTCATGGATCCCTTCCAACTTAGGAGATTCTGTGATTCTTTGGTATTTTCCCTGTTCTAGGGCATTTGTGAAGCCCGTTCCTTGATCCCCCCCTACATTTTAAGTCACAGTCAAAGCATATTTATGTTGAGGTCTATCTGCTGTTTCCATCAGGCTTTTTCTATCTCCTACAGCTTATACCTGCTCTCTGCTGTTGCAGGTGACAGTGAGCAGTACCAGTGTGCAGCTTATGGAGGATTATTCTGTGAAAGATCCGCAAACCGTAAAATCATAGAATTGCTTGGGCTGGAAGGAACTTAAAGACCATCCAGTCCCAATCCCCCTGGGTGGGCTGGGTTGCCACCCACGAGATCAGGCAGCCCAGGGCCTGGTACATACCTGCAGGGGTGGGCACAACTTTTCTGGGCAACCTGTTCCAGTGCCTCATCACCCTCTGAGTGAAATTTCTCTCCCTAATGTCTAATCTAAATTTCCCCTCTTCTAGTTAAAAGCTATCCCTCCTTGTCTGATCACTATCAGACTGTGGACACAGTCAGTCCCCCTCCTGCTTATAAGCTCCCTTCAAGTAGTGGAAGGTCACAATGAGGTCTCTCCACAGCCTTCTCTTCTTCAGACTGAACAAGCCCAGCTCCCTCAGCCTTTCTTCACAGGAGAGGTGCTGCAGCCCTCTGAGCATCTTCATAACCCTCTCCAACAGCTCCACATCTTTTTTGTGCTTAGGGCCCCAGGTCTGGACACAGTACTGCAGGTAGTGCCTGACAAGGGCAGAGTAGAGGAGAACAATCCTTTCCTTCTTGCTTTTCTACCACCTCTCTTTTGATGCAGCCCAGGATGCTGTCTTTCTTCCAGGCTGCACATGCACACTGCTGGCTCATTTTCCACTTTTTATCCACCAGGACCCCCAAGTCCTTCTCCAGTAGGCTGCTCTCAAGGAGATCTTTTCCCAGTCTGTACACATACCTGGGATTGCCCTGACACAAGTGCAACATCTTGTTAAACCTCATTATGTTCACGCGTCCACTTCTCAAGTTTGCCCAGGTTCCTTTGGGTGGCATCCATTTTGCACCACTCAGCTTAATGTCAGCAGCACACTTGCTGAGTGTGCCCTCAGTCCCACTGTTTGTCAGAAATAAAGATGCTGAAGAACACTGGTCACAAGATGGACCCCTGGGGCACACCACTAATCACCAGCTTCTATCTGGGTGTTTATCTGTTGACCTCAGCCCTCTGGCTGTGACCATTCAACCAATTCTTTATCCACCAACTAGTCAGCCTTCAAATCCGTATCTCTCCAGCTTAGAGACAAGAACATGGTGTGGGACCGTGTCACAGGCCTTGTAGAAGTACAGGTGGATGACATCAGTTGCCTTTTCTTTGTCCACTGCTGCCATCGCTTCATCACAGAAAGCCACCAGATTGGTGAGGCATGATGTGCCCTTGGTGAAGCTGTGCTGGTGTGAATCACCTCCTCGTCTCACACATGCTGTAACATCTCTTCCAGGAGAATCTGTTCCATAATCTTCTCAGGCATGGACATGAGGTGAGGCTCACTGGCCTGTAGTTCTCTTGATCTTCCTTTCTTAAAAATAGGAGCGAGTTTTCCTTTTTCCAGCCACCATGGTCTTCATCTGGACTTATTCTTTGGTTACAGTGGGAGGGATTTTGCTCCCCCAACTTCTGCTTAGAGGTCTGGGGATGTGGGAGATATGAGAAGCCTGACTAGCAGTGAAGACTATGACAGTACATCAGTCTTCTGTGTCCATTGTTGCCAGTCCAAATGATGAAGGGACAGAACCATTCTCATTTATCAGGTTCACTCTCCATGATTTGTCTCTTCTAACCTGTAGAACCCCTTGTTATTTTTCACTTCCCTTGCCTAGTTCCATCTGCATCTTGGCCTTCCTGATCCCAACTCTCCATGTTCAGACAGCATCCCTATATTTTTCCCTGGCCACCCATCGCTGTTTCTGCTGCCTGTATTTTTCCTTCTTATCTCTCAGTGTGACCAGCAGGTTCTTGCTCAGCCTTGCTAGTTTCCTGCTATCTCTGTATTTCTCCTACTAGGGGGATGGAGAGCTCTTGTGCTGTCAGAAAGGTGTCCTTAAGGAGTTGCCTCCTCTGTTCCATTCATATGTTTCTAAGGGAAGTTTTCCAAGGGCTCCTAATTAACAATTCCTTAAACAGCTGGAACTGCTGTGTTCTCCTGAAGTTCAAGGTTCTGACTCTGCTCTTCATCAGGCCCATATTCCTTGAGATCACAACCTCGACCAGGGCACGCCTGCTAGAGCCCAGACTGCCTCAGTTATTGAGCTCTTTAATGGTCTGCTCTGCACTGATGAGCACCATCTTGTAACGTTTCACCTCTGGTTGTTCTGTTCAATACTCAGACCAGGAAGTTATGCTCAGTGCACTTCTGGATGACTTGCAGCCCACTGTGTTGCTTTCCCATCAGACACACAGGCAGTTGAAATCCTCTATCAAGATGAGACCTAAGATGAGACCTGTGAGCGCAGTGCCTTTGCAGCTGAAGTAAGAAAGCCTCGTTAACAGGCTCCCCTTCATCAGGCAGCCTGGAGTGGACCTGGAGCACCAGGTGTCCTTCACTGATCTAGTCAACATGACTCGTATCTGTTTCTTAGGGTCACTTCAGAGGCAAGCCTCAGAAAATCAAGCATGTGCTTGGGAAGATGAGTTTACCTGAGAAGTATGCCTCAGTTCTTTGCTGAAGGCCATTGTGGAAATGCCCTCTTCTCCCTCTGTGTCTTTAAAACTTCAGCCATATACAAGCAAATGCATGTACACATAATACTTAGGCTGCACATTCTGAACTGTAATAGAAAATAAGTCATATCAGGAATAACTTGTTTCTCTTACAGGAAGCAGCGTTGTTTAGTTGTATCTCCCCTGTGGAAGGAGACAGTTTTGTCACAAAAGAGTGTCTTGGAGGCTGCAGGGCCATTCCTGCCCTGCCCCTTGCTTGCTCTTCTTTCAGCCTGGTCCAGTGAACAGCAGTCCCAGCAGCTGCCTCCACAGCTCATTTCTGCTGTCTCACTGGCAGAGGTCACTGCAGACCAGGGCCTGCTGGTGCCCAGGGATGTGAGATTGCAATCAACTGCTGTTCTCTTTGCAAATGTGGAGACTTAAATGGAGTAGTAATTGCGCTTGTTTTCTAAAATAAAATCGTAATGTTATGAAGTTTATTGTTTTAGGAGTAAAGTGTTCCTGAGGCTGCTGAGAGAGTGCTGACTGGATTGCTGTAATGCAGGATCAATCTTTAACTGCACGATACCTGATGATTTCTACAGGATCTCTGCCTTGTCCAGGGAGACTGACAAGTTTGAAAAGCTAAAGAAGACGAGGCTGCTTCTTTGTAGCCAGGAAAAGGAGCAGGCATATAAAATGTTTTCCATGGGGGCCCCTAGAGGCCTCGTACTACGAACTGAGAAAAAGCAAATGTGGCAAAGACCACGTTATGGTGTACAGTTGGAGGCAATTACAGAGTAAGGACTTCCTTGATGTGGACAAGCAGGACTCCTGATAGACCAGTAGCTAGGATAAGAGCCAGAGAAGTTGAAAAGCAGAAATGAAGCAGAGATTTTAGTGCAGAGGTTTAAAATGTAAAAGGGAATACTAGCAAGGGGTGGTGGAAAGTCACCTCTGTGGGGGAAAGTTCACTGCGCTGGGATTTACAAGCAGCCAAGTTTGAACGGTCACATGAGGACTGCAGCAAAGTCTGTGCCAAGCTGAAGAGCTGTTTACCCCAGAACCCAGGCTCTCAACTGTGCTCATGCATCACAGAGACGAGGAGAAGGTTCCTGTGCCACCTGCTGCTGCTGCTGCTGCCCCACTGTGCTCTGGGCTGAGCAAGGAGCACGCCTGCCTGCCTGCCTCCCTCCCTGGGCTGGCTGCAGCACATCTATTCTTCTTGCCCCGTCTCACCTCTGGATTGAAAACTGGGATCTCTGAAGGGCTGAGCAGCTCTTCCCTTACCTGTGCACTTCTGCTGTCACTATTCTTGTCTTCCTGTTGGTGAAAGCTGTGTTGCCCCCGGGAGTTCACACTTGTGCTCTCTCTGTCTGCAGGGGGAGGTTCAGGATGAAGGAACGAGAAGAAATGTGGCAGAAAATAGAAGAGCTGGCCCGGCTGAACCCTCAGGTGCGTAACAGCAGGATCTGGGACAGACAGAACAAGAATGTGCTGGGGGAGCTAGGCTTGCTTCCTGAGCTCATGAAGGCAGGCTGTAGCACCTGGTCTCAGTCTTGTGCACACAGTGCTGCTCTGTCCCTTTCAGGCTGTGTTTTACCAGTCTGGACTTCAGCAGTATTGACTCTGGATTATGCTGGTCAGGGTGTGTGTATTCGTGGACTCCTCTCTTGGCTGTGGCTACACGTGCAGTTTGCTGTGGCTCGTTTGGGTGCCACAGGCAAAAATGGATGAGAGAAAATGCTCCTCTCCTGACCGTGTACATGCTGTGACTTTGAGAGCGCCTGAAAGGGTGACTGGAAGAAGTGTGCCACGCTGTTAGGATGCTGAAGGGAGGAAATTTGGTGTTGGGTGATGTGCTCATTCCCTGGTGTTCTGTGTTATCTGCAGTATCCCATGTATTATGCACCTCCATCATTGCCTCTGGTCTGCTGCATGGAAACAGAGACCCCGACTGCAGAGGATATTCAGCTACTGAAGAAAACAGTGGAGACGGAGGCTGTGCAGGTGTGTAAGTGACGAGGGGCCTTCCAGAGACTGCTCAGGGCATGACCAGTTAGTGCAGGGTCCAGCAGGCAGAGCAGCTCATTCAAAACGACCTGAGGGTAAATGCCCCCTACTCTAATTCCTGGTTCTTAGAGATCAGCCTGTGCAAGTGGGGCTTCTCCGTGTCCTTGTGGTCTGTGGCTTCTTCTGTAGCATGTCACTGTGTCAGCCAGCAAAGCAGTTGGTATCAGAGGAAGGGAAGGTTTAGGCTGTACAGGGTTGAATGGCTGCAGATACCTGACTTCTTTGGTTTGTCTGTAGATGCTGAAAGACATTAAGAAGGAGAAGGTTTTGCTGCGCCGGAAATCTGAGCTTCCTCAGGACGTCTACACTATAAAAGCCCTGGAAGCCCACAAGAGAGCAGAAGAGTTTCTCACCTCAAACCAGGAGGCTCTCTGACGGGCTCAGAAGCTGGCCCAAGAAGCTATGTCCCATCCCTTTCCCCCAGGGGTCACAGAAATGCACTCGGTTCTCATGTATAATAAGGAATGAACATGGTGAGCCGTGCCTGTCCTCCACTCCATCCACATCCCTGCAGGATAGATCTGTTTTTATGTTGTACCTTTTATCTCACCACTGCCATCTCCTCCTGCTTCTCCTCCTCCCACACACGCAGTGTGTGTGTGTGAAGGGAACCTGTCTGCCCTGCCGGTCCAGGCAGGGGTTGCTTCATTTCCAGTTGCTGCCTGGTTTTTGCTCTTCCTGGGAGCCTTGCAGGGCAGGCAGGCACTTCCTGTGGCTCTGCTAGAAGGAGGGCTGAAGGGAGCTGCTCCAGGCTCTCTGTAAGCATAGAGAGAACCGAGCCCCTCCGCGGCTCACCTCTGTGGGGCGGCTGAGCCGGGCAGCGGTGCAGAGCAGTTGACCTCTCAGGCTTCAGGATCAGCCTGAGCTGCCCAGTTCAACCCAGCCTGAGCCAGGTGTGTTGGCTGGAGACTGCCGCGCGTGGCTCAGCGTGCTGCAGCCATCCCAGGTGCCCGCCTCCGTGTGCCTGCCCCAGTGCTGCTTGCGGTGACCAGAGGCTGAGCGCGTGGTGGGAGCGGCTGGCAGAGTTTGTGGGGGCTCTGCCAGCTCTCCACCCTGCCTCAGGGTGCAGCTCTGCAGTGGGAGGGCTCACGTATAGCAGGAGATGTTTGCTTCCGCCTTTCTTTTGCCTCAAGCCCCCTGTTCTGTTCCCCTGTTGGTGGAGTGGGGGTTCAGTGCTTCGCCACCCCCGGTATAGCTGGGTGCAAGCACTGCATCTTATTGCTTCCCTCCTTTTAGAGCATCCTTAGAAGCTCTCTTGTGGGAAAGTAAATTCCTTCGGCTCTTTGTGTTGGTCCTTGCTAAGTCGTCTCCATTCCAATGTCTTGGGTAGTTGTGGGCCCAGAGTTAACTTCTGCTTTGTAGCAGGTGTCAGCCACTGACTTCTGCTTTCTTCCTCCTCCTCCTCCTGCTCAATTAAAATGCTCCTGCAGCTTTCCCCCTGTTGTTCCCATCCTTAGCTCTGCAGTGGCTGGGGTTTCTAGGAAGCTTGTGCTGCTAAAGTCATTTCTGCAAATTAGTGGAAGCAATGGATACACGTTTACGGGGCCAGGCCAAGTTTGTGCGTGTTCAGTTGTCTCCTCTTTATGACCAGTGGCGAGATGCCACCATCGAATTGCTTCTGTAGGTGCTCTGAGCAGTTTGCCTCGCCTCTTCCTTCAGCACCTGCTGTGGCCCGAGGCCCTCGTTAGCTGTGTGGCGCAGCAGGGAAGTGCTGTGCTGTGCTCATTTAGCATTTAGAGCGCACTCGATAGCCCAGGGGCTGGTGCAGCACTTGGCTGCTACTGTGATCCAGCTCTCGGAGCTCTGTCTCCTACCTTGTTGTGGTGCAGATTCAATCCCAGGCCAGGGCGATAAGTAAGGGAGCGGTCTTTGCTTCTTACTGCTGCGCTTGCTTGCTTGACACATAAGCTTGAGTGGGATGGCAGTAGTGCAGGGAGCTTACGGAGTCGGTGCCGGTCGGACACTGCTTTGCAGCATCCATAGGTCATTGCAGAAGGTCCTGGTGTATCTGCTTTGTCCCCACCAGCAGACCCCTTCCAGGTCGGAGCTGGTGTGCAGCGCATCTCCTTTCCTCCCCCCCAAACCAAGCTGATCCCTCCCTGTGTATCCAGCGCCCCCTGCTCCCTTTAGGCATGCCACCATCTCTTGGGAGCAGCTGCCAAGCGTGAGTACGGGACGGATCACCCACACCGCGCAGGACCCCGCCTCCCTTGGCTCCCTGCACCGGGCCGGTTCATCAGGAGACTTACAAACACCTCAGGGAGGTTATTGCTTATTTAGAACATGACTCTGAGCTCATGGTCAGCTGCCAGTCGATTACCTCACGTGAGCCTGGCACAGCACGTAGACACGCGCCGGAGGCGGGCAGGAGCAGCAGGCGGCGGGGCTGCAGCTGAGGGTTGCTACCTGCAGCTGGGCTGGGGATGCTCCTTCCTCGTCCCGGGGCTGGAGCAGCACTGCTGGGAGCAGGCCGTGCGCAGGGCAGGGCGGTGATGCGCGGTGCCTACGTGCTGTGCGGCTGCCACGTTCTCGTAGCTTTGTGTGTCGCGTTCCGGGTCAGGGACCTCACGCTCAGTACCTTACATTGCCATTAGTTTACTGCCTCCTCATTCCAGTCCTGGACTTTGAAGAAGGGGACCACAGGAGGTGGGGGGAGCACATCTGTGCTCTCTGCCGCCTGCAGGCCTGCATCTGCCACACTACAGCTGCCCCTCACTCCACACCCGGTCGGTAGCGTTAATGCTCATCTCTGCCTTTGCCTTTCCCCACATCAGCCAAACGGACAGAACTGGAGCTGCCTCTTCCACGTCACGTGGCCCCTCCTCGGAGGGAACGAGCAAAACTAACTACTGCGTTCACCCCCTGGACACAAGTATTAAGCTGCTTACAGTTCATATGTACATATGGTGTACTTTATTTTCAGTAGAGCATTACATAGTATGAAAGTGTTGGATTTTGTACAGATGTCCCTGTATGTACAGTACTAAATAAAACCGATCTCTTGGAAAGACACGTTGGGCTCGACCTGCGGTGGCTGACGTGCACCGTGCGCGGGGAGGGGTCGCCGGGATGGCGTTCGTCCCGTGCTGACCCGGCCACGGCCGGGCACGACCCGTCCTGCCCGCGCACGCGGGGTCAGAAGCGGTTCTGCAGCACCGGGACGGCGCGCCCGGAGCCGGGCGGGAGAGGGGGGGAGGTCGGACCGCGTCAACGGGCAGAACGGGGGCGAGCGCCGTCAGCGGGCAGGAGGACGGACGGAGGACGAGCCGCGGGGCCGGGCTCGGCCTTCACTTCCACTCGGGCCCGGAGCTGCCCGCGCCGTGCCGGGCCTGCAGCGCGCGCTGCACCACCGCCTGCCATTGCTCGTCCGAGATCTGGCTGGCCCAGGCGGGGATGCCCAGCGTGGGCAGCTTCACGCCCGCCATCGTCCTCTTCACCAGCTCCACGTGCTCTGCGGGCAGAAAGCCGTGAGCGAAGCGGGCCGGCGCGGAGCCGCGAAGCCCCCGAGGAGCCTCCGTTACCTGGGTCCATGGGGATGGAGCCGCGGCCGCCCTGCGCCGCCGCGCCTTCCTCCTCCTCGTCCTCGCTGTCCGCGGGCGGCTCGGGCAGGTGCAGCCTCAGCATCTGCGACAAAATGGGGCGGCGGTGGGTCGGGGCCGCGCTCCCTCTGCCGCCGGCTCCCCTCCCTCCGCGCCGCCCCGCGCCGCCCCGCTACCTGCAGCCGCTCCTGGAGGCCGGGGCCCGGCTCGGCGCCGCCCGCGGCAGGGCCCGGCTCGGCGGGGCCCTGCTCCGGCTCCTGGCTCAGCGGCTGGTACAGGTACCCGCCGGCCCCCTCCTCTTCCTCCTCCTCTTCTTCCTCCTCCTCCTCCTCATCCTCCTCGTCGCCGCTCCATCCCGCCGCTCCCTCGGGGGCCTCCGGCGGCCCCGGCTCCTCGGGACACACCCGCTCCGGCCCCATCCTCCGCGCCACCGCCATGCACCGGGCGCGGCCCCGCCGCCACCCGGAAGCCGCCCCGCCGCCGGGCACTGTGGGTGCCGTAGTCCCGCGGCGGACTCCGCCCTCCGGAGAGACCCCCGCCCTCTCGGCCGCCCCGGGACGCTCCGTCGGGGACCCGCCGCCCCAGCGTCCCGAAGCCCTGAGGTTCGGCGGGTCCCCGTCGGGCCGCCCGGAGCCGGGAGGGAGGAGAGGAGGGAGAGGAGGAGGGACGGAGCGCCGCGGGGCGGGCGGGGCGGCGCCGGACTACA